ATCATGTCAAACCTCTATAATTTCTTATATAAGTTTGCTTTATAAATAGCAAGTATAGGAATAGTGTAACAAAATGCTATTAAAGCTATCTCAAAAAATAGCTAACATCTGTTACATAAGTGTTACTGTAGAAAATAAATTGAAACTTTAATTAAACCTCATATTATTGTATGTATTACTGTGTTCCAAGCTACTTCACTTTATAGATGTTGTTTGATTTCATTGTTGAACAATTAAAAACTTTTAAAGTTGCTTTATAGTTACAAATATAAGGATTCATTTTGTTCAGGCACATCATTAATATAGTGGAACAACATGCCATAAAATTAGTTTATATAATCAGATTTAGATTAAGACTGTATGTAGTAAATATGACCTCACTTGCTAGGCAAAATTACCACAAATAAAACTGTTTATTTTACTGAATATCTACCCAAAAAGACATATTAGAAAAACGTGTAGGTTTGAGAAATCAATTTAATACAAAAATATGAAACCCTATAACCAGAGCACTTTCTAAGGGTGAACTTTTCAATGCGCTCTGGGTTAGGGTTTCGTATTTTTGTACCTTAAAAGACATTTATAATAAATAATGACAGGTATGTTTATGCTAACATTCAGAAGTTTAAAGCTGATCAGAAAATTGTGAATGATATATGAATAACTGGTTTTCAAGTTATTTTTCAATGAGTATCGAGTGAGCTAAAAGTTGCCACTGACAAGTTGGACAACGTGGTGAAATACACTGATGTGTTGGCTTGAGAAGTTCTTTGTTTGAGAAAATTTACAAAACATAACATTAGAGTTTATTTCTTATGTCTAGTATACTTAATAATAACATCTTAACTTTCAACATTCCATATATGAGATTGATATTATTTTCTACAAAACATTCAACATTTTGGTCAGCATTTAATCCACAGCCTGACAACTTTTTACTCACACTCCACAAAGTTTAACATTTTTGCCTAATTACACTGGTGTGTAAAGTTTTGTATAACATTATTTGTAAAATTGATACACAGGAAAAGCTACATACTTGAAAAGATATCAATACAAATACAACTTGTATGTTACGTAGAAGCACTTTGTAGTAAAATATAAGCAGTTTAGTTACTGTTGACAAACAATATTTTCATATATATGTAGTGTACAATACCAACAAATGTACAATCAGAACAATGGTAAATTAAAAATACATAACTGACTTTACAATTACTTGTAAATAATTATTAGATTTCTTAGCAGGATCCCAAAAATATACAGTCCAAATATAGGAATATTTTTCACAGGAATTATAGGTCAAAAGAAAGGAATATATTAAACAGAATATGCTGCTTATTATTATTAATACTTTGAGGAATACAAATTATACTTTTGTTAATAGATGAAAAGCAAAATGTACAGTACTTACTTGAAACTTCCTGTTATCAATGGTTACTCTTCTGAGTTTGTACATCCTACACTCACTCATTTTATTTCCATGATTACTTGGTTGTCATTAAGCACAAAGCTATACAATGAGTTCCTACTCCAGGTTAACAAAACTCTAAATTAGCATTATAAGCCTTCAGACTTACTGCTAAGCCACCAGGGGCAAAAAACTTTATTGACATTAATCTTTTCTGGATGATGTAAAGTTATGTAATACCCATTAAAACTTTTAATGCTAACCATCTCTTGAAAACAAGGAGTCTATTTTCTGAAATGTTTATCTACTGTTAAGAAAACATCACAAATATAAAATTATTCACAGAATTATAACAATTTGGACTTCCTTTACAATGTTTTGATATTTATTGGAATTTCAAATGCTGTACCAATCATTTCTACAATGTTTAATGACATCTCCAATATAACTACTTTTTATTTCACACCCTTTATTTTAAATGAAAAATTCACTGAAACTTTTCAGACACCAGTTCCCTTTTTCAGGTGCCAAGATGACCTGGCACCTGGAATTTGACAAGCCCTACACAGGCATCTATATATATATTTATGTGTGTGAATATGAATGTAGAATTCTTTTTACTTATGGCTAAAAGAGTGACTACAGCCACTAGACCTGTTTCTTTTAGCCATTCTTTGTTAAGTACTTGAGATAGAAATATAAAAATTAAATTCTCTACTGTAAGAACTGGGCAGTGAAATTGTTTCTTTCTTTATATATATATATAAAAACACATAAATACGTATTCTACAAGCTAAAATTACAAGTATTACAGAATTCTGAGCAATTAAGTTCATAAAATAATTATTCTGATGAGATTAAATACACAGTTTTTATTGTTTTTTGTGGGAAAATTTTGGCCGATGTCTATGAACTTCTAATCTTATAGATAGGCCTCAACTCTCGTGCAATTGATTCCTTTCTCGCGTTCAACCAAGAAGTCCACAAATGTCCAATCTCACTCCAGTTTATGGTACTGTTATTGTAACTTAGATAAAAAAAACCACCAACTAACTTAAAAAATGTGACCAATATCTTGCTAAACTTTACGTGTCCAAATCATTATCCTTGGAAAAACAAATTATTTGTATAAAGAAGAATGCAACAATTTAAAGCTGTCATTTCTTAGTTATGATAGTAAAAATAAGACTCTCCCAACTTGTGCACACTTTGTTGGAGGTTTCCATGATCTTGAATAGTAGAATGTGTAGTGAAATACTTTAGGCCTAACTAACTCTTTAAAAGTTGTATCTCTTTACTTATTTGATTGTAAATTGAACTTCATTTAAAAATACACACTGATTTAGTGAGGCCTTAGCTTCTTATCTGAAATACTAAATTAAATTAAAGTAAAGCCAATATTAACAACATACAGCTAAACTTAGGAATACAAAGTAAAACCAATATTAACAACATACAGCTAAACTAGGGAATACAAAGTAAAACCAATATTAACAAAATACAGCTAAAATTTGGGAATACAAAGTAAAACCTATATTAACAATGGTAATGGTAATTGGTAATGCATCATAACTGACAAAAACCTTAAATATTAATTTTATTAACATTAATTTCACTGAGCTCTGAAGTGAGTCACTTTGAGAACAAACTTCCATAGGCTAAATTATTATCGGTAGAGAACGACAACTAATATATTGACTTTACAGAATGTCAAAATAGACAGTCCAACTGTAACAAGAGAGAGACTGCCTAGCCTCTCATCTCCTCACTCCTACCAGTGGATTTCTACGTGATAGTCTCGGTTATGGATTTTTTGCTCTACAGCACTATTTACACAACAGAAAGGTTTTGCAGAATACACAGACATTTTGTATTTCTCCCTCTTCTTTATGTCTACAACTGTGCACAGAAATCAATGAAAGATGCATCTCATGATTTAATTAGTATGTATCCAAATTTTATAACATGAATTCCCATTTGGACTTGTATTTTACAAAAAAGAACTGGTATGTTAAAAACATTACATGAACGGTGTCTGTTTACATGTTTATATATTAAAACATAGATATCAAGTATAATTTTCTTATTTCGAGTTCTGAAAAGAAGTTTTCAGCAGACTTATCTGTCTGTTTCAGGCCAAAATGAGTAATCAAAAAATGTGTACATTTAGGAAGGGAAATGGTCAAAGCTATGGCATCATTTATTTTAGTTCCACTGATGAAGAAAGGTCCACCTTTTGAAAATGCTTGGGTTATACGTTGTTTATTATTGTCTTTAATTGATTTTAAAAACTATACATTTTCCTAACATCATAGCTGTATGTTATATACTGATGAAGAAAGGTCCACCTTTTGAAAATGCTTGGGTTATACGTTGTTTATTATTGTCTTTAATTGATTTTAAAAACTATACATTTTCCTAACATCATAGCTGTATGTTATATACTGATGAAGAAATGTCCACCTTTTGAAAATGCTTGGGTTATATGGTTGTTTATTATTGTCTTTAATTGATTTTAGAAACTATACATTTTCCTAACATCATAGCTGTATGTTATATACTGATGAAGAAATGTCCACCTTTTGAAAATGCTTGGGTTATATGGTTGTTTATT